TGTGATATACATGTATCCGACTCTCGCAGTTTGTATTTATGAGAGGAGCAAGAGTTCATTATATTGTAAGAGGGTTTACAACAGTAACCTACAGGGAATTCTGAACTGAACCCTTTATTTAATCTATGCGGGTAAACTATTCCCATTCCACTGCTCATGTCTAGGGATAGTACTAAATAAAATAAGAACTAGATGATATCCCCAGATATGTGCAGTAGATCAAGAATAGTCTCCCTGTGTGGATTAAAGAAAGGGTTCAGTCAGAATTCTCAGTAGGTTACCCAGATTGGTATACACCTGAGGAAGGCCAGTAGCACTGAAACATTGTGATAACAACAACAAAGATGAGAACAATAGTTCAAATATAAATAGTGTAAATAACGATAACTCCTCATACCAGAAATTCAAATAAAAAATATGTTTTTTTTTATACTTTCCTATCATTTTGATTTTAGTTTGGGGGTTCACTATTTGCCCATAGCTAGGACCCTAACAGGTACTACCACACCAGGTCAGAGTGGACCTGGGAACAGCAACAACAATCAAGAGGTTGATGTGTAAGGTGGTAGAGAATTAAAAATAAATAACATTATAAACAAAGAAACAAATACTGAACTGCTATGTAATGTCTATCCTTCAATATGGCAGTAAAAGTCAAGCAGTTTTATCACAAAATATTGAGAATACCAAGTTTTAATATTTTAAAATCAATATATCAATATACACACGCAAAGTGTAAAATCTCTGTAGAAATACTGCAAAAGAAGCGTCAAAACCAATATGGTAGTAGTCACTAACTAATTATTCTTTAGGAATATATTTGGAGGGAAAAATGTTACAAAAAGGACATTCTTTATTGGTCAAAAATATGCATGTACATTTTTCTATGGAGATTAAACTTCAGTTAAAAGAGTTTAAATAAATTATAGTGTCTTTTTCGAATCCTATTCTTACTTTATTCCTCATACATGACTTTTCAAATTCAAAAGAAGGCTCGAAATATTGTATACCAAAAATAAAAATGCAAGGAAAATGTAAGGGAGGTAATTCATTGTTTGTGTTAAAATATAGAGCTGTCAACTTGTGCTCAAACGTTGATAACTAAGTTCTTTTTTATCATCAAATTGACTTTGTTTAAAACTAGACATCAAATTATTTTCTAATACTTTAAAAAAATATTCAGATGAATTTGGATCCATATGCCATCCGCTGAAGTTTAAAACAAGATTGTATTTATTTAGAGAATGAGGAAATTTACTAGGAAGTAAGAAAAATAAAAAAAAATTACAATTGAATAAATACAAATTGTGAGCGATGTTTTCAAATTTATAGATTATAATTTAATTTTTAAATTAAATTATTAAGGTACTACTTGACAAGAAGAATATTATTAACTCATCTTTTTACATAAATTAACCTGTTTAGTTTAAGCGTCATGAGAAGTAAACCAAAGAAAAATACGCTTTTCCCTTGAAGGTAAATAAATACTGTTGTTATAAAAAAAAAAAAAAAAAAAACAAACAATTGCGTATATAAAATAAATTAAAAAAAATCTCTAGCTTGTCTAAAGGCAAAGGTTACAAAATCTGCAAAATTAAGTTTTCGATTCTAAAAGATGGTCCGAGAGTGCTAGAAAAAGTCACTTCACGTACAATGATACTGTATTGAGTATACTCCCACGACAATCATCAGCATCATCAGGTATAAATAGATATAGACAATCTGATGTGTGATCGTAAACAAATCAATAATTTGGTTCCCCAGTGCCCGCGACACGTGACACTAACTGAAGGTTACATAAAAAACTAGGAACGGAGGTAAACACTGGTCGTAGGGAAAAACGAGAGGACCAGAATTGGGAAGAGAAAATATAGAGAGCGAAAAAAATTATTATTATTTATCGTTTTACCTTTATAAAGAGCTTTTTGATTAAATCTGCAAGTTTTTAAATAAACTAAGAGCGGACGAGTTTGAAGAAAAAAATGAGTACAAATTAAGTAGATCAACTGAATCGAGTTAATAGTTAATAATTAAAAAAAATAATCCAAAAGTAAAACCAATGATGATAATTTTAAAAAGGTAATTACTTCAATTGGCTTGATATACAAAAATACGACCCTGAAATAAATTCTCTTTAGCTTCTTACAATATCTCTCGAGCTCCAAAAATTTTTATAATTTCACCGTAAATGAATAACTAAGTTTATTAAAAAAAAAAAAAGCACAACAAAACATGAATAAGCAATTTTGCAATGCTTGTAGTAAACTAGTACAAGCCTTGCAAAATTAATTACTTATGAAATATCCCAAGATTTTATCGGTAGGCAATTATTATTACATCAATAATTATCACAATAAGCATCATTGAATTATTAAATTAAATACAATATTAATAAATGAAACAGAATCGCCTTTGGCTTTGTATCCCTACGGTGAAGTGAGTTGATTGTCAATTTAAAAAAAAATTATATCAGTCACAGTTTCCTAGTTATAAGCATAGGGTACTCTCATTGAGGGTCGAACTTACTGTACTCTGCGAGTAGTAAGTTATTACGTTACGTTTGGATGAAGCGCTCAACACCTGTCTAATTGAAAATTGGCTATAATTTTAAATCGAAACTAGTAACCGTATATTCTCTTCTTATAACCGAAATACAAAAAATATCAGTATCGAAATATGAAATTTAATAAAGTTAAGATTCTTTGGTTGAGTGAATATGCGTAAAAAAATTAAGTTTAGCTGGTTGTCCCTAATTAGTAATTAGTCACCATCTGAAGAAGTAAAAAAAAAAAACCACACATTCATAGTTTAACTAACAATATAAATTACTATGAAAACACTTTTTTTTTTTTTGGTATCCTGAATTAAATTGAAAAAGAAAAAAAAAGACGAAATAGGTCTATGTAGTAGGAATTGCTTGTTTTACTTTTTTGTCCACTTGTTGTACATCCTATCGCATAATGTAAAAAAAAAAAAAGGGGGGTAAAAGGCGAGAAAGAGAAAACAAAAGTAAGAAACGTGATCATTTTATTTTTATCCCACAGAAATCAAATTTCACTTCACTAACAAAAACAAAACAAAAACGTTTTTAAGGTCGTTGCTCGATCAAATAACCTAGGCTTAATTTAATTATTTTATCATCGTTTAAAGACCGTTTTTGGTTTTTTACAATTATTACATTTTAAGTGGATTTTGCTAGAAATTGATACCAAAATCGTTTTTCCTTCGATGATCACCGAAAGGAATTTTTTTAAATGTGGATTTCATCTCAAGAATGTTAGATTCTGTAGAAAATTAATTTTTAAAAATCTGTGAATACGTTCTTTTTATTTTATCTTGTTTTACTTCAAATCGATCCATAATTTTTTTTTATTAAAAATAAACAAATATTCAATGACCCGGAAAACAGGAAAAGTAAACAATCATCACAGGGTTTTTTTATTATTATTATTTTTAAATTTTTTCATTGCCATACCACCCCACACCCTTCCCCTCAAATGACTTTCTTTTTTTTCTTTTTTTTCTTGAGCATAAGATTTTTAAATTTAAAAAATTAAAAAATAAGGTACCAAAATTAAAGTCTTTAATTTGAACAGACAGAAAGTCTGGGAAACCATTTTTATAAATTTGATTTTGAAATGAATTTATTACAGTCACACACACACAAAACAAAAAAAACAATCAACCTTTCAAGTTGAAATTGTGAAGTGTTTGGTCATGTGACTTCCGTGTCGTAAAAAGTACTGAAAACAAGCATATTTTAACCGGTGCTATGTTTGTTGTTCTTTTGTTTGTTTTTTTCTTATGACAGTTATACAAATTCTGTTATTTAAATAAATGAAATGGTTAGTGATGACACCAGTTTGACAATTGTTTTTAATTCCGTTTCATAGCGGACATACATACAGAACTAGATATTTGTAAATAATAAACAAAGAATTATTAAAAAGTTAATAAAATTGTACATCATTTTTTTGTGGGAGGTGATTTTTTAAGCATAAGCTAAAAATTCAAAGTTACGTTTCAAAAGTGGGATTTTTATTTTATTTTTTTTACTTTAGAAAGCGTTAAAAATAAAATAAAAAAATTAATTCTATTTATTCTGGTAAAAAGTTATTTTTTAGAAACAACTACTAGCTTAACAACTTAGAAACAAATTCTGACAGAGGAAGTCTTGTCCCAAACAAAACTGTCAGTTCAGTTTATTTTTTGTTATTGTTGACTGAGTATTATTGTTAAGTAGTGTTTAATGTTGACAAATACAAAAAAAAATAACAGGCTTTTTTTATTTAATGTGTTCTTTTTCCTTTTTAAATCAAAGCATTTTTTCGTTTAGGAAAGACGTATTTTTACTTTTAAATTATGAAATTTAAATTAAAACTAGTCCATTTTTAAAACAAAATAAATCGCGTTTTTTATATCATATTTCCATTTTTTTTTTAATCTGCTCTTTTTCTCAAGTTAAAATATAAGTCAAAAAACAAATTGCGTATACAGTGAAAATAATTTATAATTAAAAAAGGAAAGCGATAATATTGTTGACTTTTTACAAGTAGAGGAAGATGAAGAGAGAAGACTTTTTTTTTTTTACCAACTGTTGTTATTAAGTTAACTCCATAAGACCAAGAAAATATCATAACCTTAATAAATAAATAATAATTCTTGTTAAAAACGTCAGAGCAACTGTAATTAAAATCAAAGCAAAAAATCCCTAAAATTCAGACTTCATAAAACTAAAAAGCATTCGACAGAGCAAAGATAGGATGTGAAAAACGTCTTTAAAAGTTGTTGCTATATTTTTTCATTACAAAGGTTTATCATTAGTTGCATCAATACAATGTAACTTTGATAAATACCCTCCATTTTAGAAAAGACACAGATTATTTACATGTCCATGTAAATAATTCACATACCCATTTCGTCTGTATCTAAACTGCTGAGTGGACCAATACTTTAAAAAATAATAATAATTTTAAAGTCAAGTTTATAAGTGTACTCACTACGAGAGAAATCCAATCGAACATTTTCCTCCCCGCTTTCATGCCGACCTGAAAAATAAAACGATATCATATATACCCAAGTAGCTTGAACATTATCTCAACAACGCAAAAATTTGTTTGTTGACATCGGAATCGATTTAAATACCTCGAAGACGTCCACTTCTTAGACTACGGCCGTGATGGCGAACCGAAAAGGTCGCCATATTACCCGGTGCTTTTTTTTTTTTTTTTTTTTTTCCTCCACTACATTACAGTTTATGATAAACAGTAAAATTCGCTTTCAAACGATCTTTTATTTATTAAATTAATGCTTGAAACAATGTTTTCCGTGCTCGATACGATTAATTATTATGAGACACGAATTTAAATTATATAACAAAAATTAATATTTATTTATATATGCTACTGATAATTTTTGGTAACAATTAGATTGGATTATGGCAGAAGGTTGTTAATAAATACAACGAAACGAAACAACGGAGAAAATTTTTACCTTCTGTAGTTTTCTTTTAATTGGTGACTTTAAAACTAATTATGCATAATAAAGTAAACAGATTTTTGTTATTTAATTCTTTCAGTTAAACGTAAGGACGAAGCTGCTAAAAAATGGTTTTAAAAATTATTCATTAAAGCTTTTTTAGTTTTTAGTTTAACTTTCTTTAATTAAAAAAATTAAGACAAGGTTTTTAGTTTTTATTTTCATATTTATTTATTTTATTAAAAAATGTATTTGAAATTTTAACATAATATACACGACACTGAATTCTTTATATTTCATTAAACATCATATTTTTCTAGTATTACTTTCCGTTAAAAAAAAAAACAAAACATTGCCGGCAAAAAGTGTTGGCACAACAGGTCAGTCGAGTTGATTAGGGTTTTTTTTGGGTTTTTTTAAAAAAAAAAAAAAAAAAAACATCTAAAATTGTTTTACATTTTTTTTAAATGAAAAATAATTAAAAATATATCTTAGTTGTTTGTGTTTTGTGATTGTCCTTTTTTTTTCTGCTTTTATTTTTTAATAAAATCTAATCTCAAATCATTTTGATACTTTTTTTTTATTTGTAGACTTATATGTGGACATGAACGCAAAAATGTTTTTTTTAGCTTTGCCTTGAGCAAAAACACTTACACAAAAGCTCCTATCACAAAAGTTGCCATTTGTGACCAGAAATCATTACAAAATTTCTGGGAATCTAACTCCCAGATAGGACCTCACCAGTGCACTAAAAATATTTTTTGGGGTATGACGATAAACCACATCCGGCAACAAGAGACTGGAGGTTTTGAGGAGTGTAGAACTACTTCTTAATTGCTTTTGTTCCCAGGTCCACCGTGGCCCGAGGTGGTAGCGCCTGTTAGAATCCCAGCTATGAGCAGATAGTGACCCCCCCCCAATAACTTTTTATAGTAAAAAAAAAAAAAAAAAAATCAGCAATATATTTTTAAAAAAAAAAAAATAACCAACAATACATTTTATAGTAAAATGACAAACAATGTAACACTAAAAAAGTATAAAAATACATTTTTATAGTAAAATTACCAACAATATATTTTCATAAAAAAATTCCCAATAATACATTTTTATCGTGTACAAAAACATACGTTTACACTGAAAGTATAGAATTATATGCAAAATATCTGTAGCTGAAACCATAAAATTGCAAACAAAACATTTAGATACAGTATTTACATTATTCGGACTATTGTCCTCATCTTTGTTGCCATGTTTATTAAAATGTTTCAGCCGTTGTACTCTCCGGCCTTCTTCAGGTGGTTGGAATTTTGAACTGAACCCTTTATCTTGCTCACTGGGGCAGACTGTTCTAGTTCCACGTGCCATGTTTAATGGATGTCAGTTGTCTCCTGTTAATTCCCCTCTTCAAGTTCTCCATTGCCTTAACCGGGTATTGAACTCACTCTCTTTGTGTCCTGTCACTGGATCTAACTGACGCCTTTATCCACTGTGCCATGTGTCCTTGAGGACATCTGTGTATGAATTTCTGGGTATTATTAGTAAACCTAATGTCTTCAGCGATCATTTTTTACCAGTGCTCATATTGCAATTTTTGCTGTTATTATCGCTTTTCTCTGGCCCTCCTTATTACTGGTTCCCATATTGTATTCATTTCTATGCTTGGTCAGCTCAGGAGATTTTTTGTGGCCTAACATTCCTTAAGTTGTAAGAAAACGAAACGTTGTAATAAATATGGAGACAAAGATGAGGACAATAGTCCAAATAATGTAAATAGTGTACATAAAACCTCATCTCAGAAAACATTTATATTTCAGTGTTGTGGTCTAGAATGATGATGATATTTCATCATTCTAAAAATAAGCTTGTCATTAGTGATGATTAAAAAGAAGGTTATTTCATCATCCTACCGTCATCATTATAAAAACGACTCTTCCATCACAAAAAAGTCAATGGAATAGAGTCAATTAGTGTAGATTAGAATACCCATAGTAGTAGATAAGTAGTCAGTAGAAACTCATGTTTTTGCCAGCACTCCATGAGGATTGAAAACAGACAATTTCAAACACCATCATTACAAACAAAATTCTCAGAACCGAACCAAATAAACACTGACTTATAACAAAAGACACACTGAGAACATTTTTATACACACCCTAACTATACTTGGTAATTCACATCACAAAAAGAAAATACAAATTCTTGCTATTTATGTCAACACATGTCTCAAGTTTTTATTGTTTATATCATTGTTGTACATTTTAATTCATTTTGTTTTCAATATAAAAAAAGAGAAAACAATTCCTCCTACACTACAAATACATATAGCAATGGGGTAATTAATTTAACAACACTCAAACTATATGAACACCAACCCAAACTACCACCCTGTTACTCTGGCATTAAATAACCCATAGAGGTTGATATTCTACTAAACAAAATCAACCAAACCAAACCATTACACTAAAAAAAAAAGACTACATAGTTTTTTTGTTTGTTTGCTTTTTATGCCTGTCTGAACTAGGCAATTTTTTGTAGCTATCCACATGTGTGGGTTATGACTTAAAAGAAAAAGGGGTCATATGCTACAGTTAATTTGGAATGCAAAATGTACTTAGATGAAATACTGTGCTCCTGCTTAGAGGCCATTCCACAGAAGACTTCAATAAATTGAAATCAGTTCAAAGATGTTTGAAGCTTGCTTCTTCAGTGGTTATTTTATTAACACTGGTTGAAAAGAGGAAAGCAGATATAAAAGAAACATTCAAATGAAGTTACTTTATTACTCAATATGAAATGCATTTCCCCAGAGTACTAACATCAACTTCAAGAACATTCTAAGAACCTCTGAAGAGATTTTCAAGTACAGATATTAGGAAGAATTTCTTTGCCAAAAGAATTGTGAATGATCAGATTGATTGATTCATTCATTTTCTACAGTTTGTCAACTCATTGCAGGTTATTTAAAGCCAGAAAATATTTTTAGATTGTGAGAATTTTTATTTTCGGAGATAATAATTTAGTGATACAAGTCTTACTAAGTGACCTATATAAAAAAATTTTATTTTTACTATTTTAAAAATGTTAGCCTTCTATAACTGTTTGTCTACATTTTTTTAATACATATTCTTCTGAGAGAAGTGTATTTTTATGAAGGCCAGACTGTTTGGATTAAGAATTGTTACAATTGTATATTTTTTTCCACTAAGTAGTTGAAACCCACCAAATTTGTGAAAGATCCATTTCCAGTTTATGGAAAATCATTTTTTTTGTATAGACTGACCAATGAGAGACGTGCTCTCAAGCTCTAGTGACAACCCTAAGTCAGTGGGTTGGCTGGAAGGCTCTTGTGAACCCAATTTCCCAAAATTATAGAGCTCAGGTCAATCAGTTAATTCAAGAAATTTTGACAGCAAGGGGACAAGGCAGGTCAGCATCAGGGCAGAAAGCATTTGACATTAAGAATAGATCATTAAAGAAGGCATCAGTTACCAGCCAGCTTCAGAAAGACTAAAAAGAATTTTGAAGTTCAAGTGAAAATTCTCTTGTGGTTGGACAGCCAAGAATGAAAAGAATTCTAAGAAATTTTCCTAAACACAAACTGTGTGAAGTTAAAAGGGACTTTTTCAAAGCATTACTGTATGTCTCAGACACTTGTGGAGCAAGTGAAAATAGATTTTTTTTGTTTTTCTCAAAGGCAGTTGCACCTTTGTTTTTACTGCTTTATTGTATTGTTTTCTCTTTTAACCATTTAGTAACATCCCAAATAATGGTGGGGGGGGGGCAGTTTGAGCTTGATTTTCTGAATAAAATGAGCTCAGGTCAGTAGATAGGAGGAAGAGAGAAGACTTTTTGACAGCAAGAGAACAAGGCAAGTCAACATCAAAAAGGGCATTTGACATCTAGAAGAGAACATCAAAGATGGTAACATTTCCTGACCAACTGCAGAGAGACTAAAAGAATTTTGAAGTTCAAGTGAAAATTCTCTTGTTGTTGGACAGCCAAGAATTCTAAGAAATTTTCCTAAACGCAAAATGTGTGAAGTTAAAAGGGACTTTTCAAAACATTACTTTTTGTCCCAGATATACTCGTGGAGCAAGTGAAAATAGATTTTTTGTTTTTCTTAAGAAGGTGGTTGCACCTTTGTTTTTTACTGCCTTCTTGCATTGTTTTCTCTTTTTGCCATTTTCAAAATCCTTGTTTTTTTTTTTTTGCAAACTAATTTTTTCCATGTTTCAATGGAAATTTGTTTATCTGAAATTGTTATCCTGCACACAAAAGAAAATTTTTGTGCAAACTTTGTATTTGTACTTGTTATATTCTATGCTAATAGGAATATATATTTGACAAACATGGTGGATAAAATAAGTAAAAGTTTATTGTAAAAAAACAGTACAATAAGAAATAAGGTAACAGTTATGCACACAATCATTGCAAGTCAATCCAGTAGTGAGCGCTACTATTGGAAGGTCGGTAGTTCTTGCATAAGTCCGAGTCATACTCAACAGATAGATAGCTAGACCCCACAGTTCATTGACTTACCAATACTTATAAGTAGTTACTACCTATAGTGTACTTACTTATGGGGGTGAAAGATTATTCCATTACAACACCTCCCCCACAAGCTGAAGTTTTCCTCTAGAAAATTTAGCTTTCTAATACTTTCTATTTTTCAGATCTGAACTTAACCGCACTGTGGATTTTCTTTTCCTTGTACTCTTTCGAGGT